GATAGGAACCATATTGAGAAAGCTGTCGTCTGGGTTTAAAGAGGAACAGTGATTTTTCAGTTTTTAATATGTGAATTTACCTTTCTTTCCTTATATCGCTCTCCTTTGTGATTTAATTTTGTTATGGAGCTCGAAGTCAATTAGTGCTAGTGAAGCTCGGTTTTGACATTTTCATCACAAAAAGCGCGAAAATTTTAACGAAATCAGGGCTTCTGCACTCCAGATGTTTTTCTTTTAATTTACCACTGCTAACTTTGGAATCATTTTCATGCGTAACTATTCATTATGATGGTGGAGGGATACAATCTCAAAAAAATGAAAACTGTCATTCTACCGTACTTCCAGGAGGAGCTCATGGATGTAATGAACAAGCCAGGTCATTTCAAAGCATAATGCGCGAAAATGGCATTTGTCTCGCGCGATTATCACCGAGGCAACCGCGAAATCAGCCCTTCGCTACCTCACCTAAATTTCGCTTGTCTCCTTTTCTGAATGTTATTGTAGCGACATTAAATTTACAATGAATTGATAGCCAATTTGGCACCCTACAAAATGAGGTCTTTCGCTCAAGTCTCCGATGGAGGATAAAATCGTCATGGGATGCGGAAGTTCAAAATACAAAGATAGTGCGCGAAAACCACCCCTTTTACCATAGGTATCGGTTGCTTTAAAGACAAAATGAAAAGTGTGGGCGCGTGACACAAATTGGGGATCGTTTAAGAAAGAGAGGAATCACCTATTTATTACCTGTCACCGTGACGCAGTGAGGGTTTCTTCATAATGCCGGAGTCCCGTCACATAACATTCAAAGATTACACACGGTTATAATTTTGAACAGACATGTATCACATCAATAACAGAAATTTTCGATAAAAAATCCTCAATCGCTTTCCACTTCCATCGCAGATTGAATCCTCTCAACCCTTACATGCGGACTTCCTGAATATCATTCCAGAAAAGCAGGCAAGTTATGCACATGTATGACTTTTTCATATTACTGACCAAAGCTAGAGATGTGTCAAAGCTCAATCATTCAACGATTTAGAAACAAGGAGAAGGGACAGTGCCTAGTCGTGGGAATATAATAGGAAAGGAGGAGGAGGTCCTTTCAGCCCAAAGAATGAGGGAGATTCGGAAGCATATTGAGTATATTCGGAAGCATAGTGAGGGGAATATTTACAAGCTCCCACGGAAGTTAGTGATGGAAGACCGAAAGAATCGCCTGGCCAAATATGAAATCGGCAATATGGGACTTGATAGCGGACAGGGAAGAGTGCTCATGCTTTTTGGGGCCGTAGGAGTAGGTAAGCAGTCATCTTTATAACCATCATGAACTGTAAAAGTAGAGGCCTGAAAATCATCAGAGTCGTACTACAAAGTTTTCGTCAGTTCCATCCATGGAAATTGATTTATTTCGTTGAAACATAGTTGAAACAAAGTTCGGTTTTCCACTCTTGAAGAGAAAAGATGGGTCTTTCTTCCTGGAAATTGTGGTGATGTTAATTTAATTGCCAAAAAGTCAAACAAGTGCAAAGTGCAATTTACGGTGTAAAACAGGTACATTTCAATTTCACGTTGCTTCCATTTTAATAGTATGCATCTTGACGAGAGGTACACATGCTAATATAACTTTGTATCCCTGTTGATAGGAAAGAGTACCCTCATCAATGGGATCGTGAATTACGTATACGGGGTGGATTATAATGATGACTTCCGATTCAAGCTCATCTCAGATGAAGACGAAGTACACAAGGGTCATACCAAATGGATCACGGCGTATCACCTACATATGCAGCGAGGATTCGCTCTGTCCCATGCCCTGACCGTCATCGATATAGATGGATTTGGAGATATAGAAGGCATACCGGCTGATGAAGAACTGAGAGATCAGATCAGGGAGTTCTTCACCAATGGCGGTTACATTGGAGTGGATCAACTTCACGCAATTTGCTTTGTTGTACATTCCAGTCTGCCCAGGCTCACTCCTACTATGACGTACATATTTCACTCCATTCTCTTAGTGTTTGGGAAGGACGTCATAGAAAACATCTTCCTATTGATCACATTCGCGGAAAGGAACAAACCCGTAGTTCTGGACGCCATCAAAGGAGCCAAATTTCCATACAAAGATTACTTCAAGTTCAACAATACAGCTCTCTTCCCTGATTCCACGGCTGATGGTTCTGACGTGGTTGACAAAGTCCTTTGGAAGTTCAATGTCACAAGCTTCAACATTTTTTTCGAGAAATTACTAGAAACCCAACCGGTGAGTCTGACATTGACGAAAGAAGTTTTGCACGAGAGGCGGCGATTGGAAACCGCTCTCCAGAGCTTCCAAGCCCAAATTATTCCAAGTGAGACTAATTGGGATTTTCAATGTCCACTAATCTCCAATTGAGTATTTAGATGAGTTCGTATATGATTTCACTTCTCGTGTCAGGTTTGAGAAGGCTGGAACTGCTGCGACAAGGAAATGCAGCCCTGAGGCAACATGAGGCAGAGTTGCAGACCAAGGTGGATTTCACATCATACGAAGAAGTAACTAAGAAAAAAATTAATACCGAAGGAATTGTGAAGGAGCTCATCAAGGATTTCAACAAGGAGAGGGCAAATATACTGGATTTAACCAAGAGGGCACACGCATGCTTGCAGAGACTCGATTTGATTGCCCTGAAACCCTTTAATTGGTGGGTCACCGATTACATCGATTTTCTCATCGAGTCCGAGAAAAGAGAGGGCCGAGAAGGTTTCATCCAAAGGCTTAAGTACCTCCAAGATACAAGAGACAAGGCCGCATTGGCTGAGAATCTCAAGCATAACTTTGATCCGTTTAAGGAATACATGAAGGAGCTCGAACAAGAAGGCTTTGATATTTCTCTCTTCGATCCGGAACCTTTTGAAGATTAAATTCTCAACCCGTTTTCGTCATAAAACAAGGTAACAGCGACAATTATGAGAGAGGCTTCTTTGAAGGAGTGAAGATATTTTATCCTGAGCCACTAAAGGCTAAGAAGGAATGTAACTAGCATGGGCTGTCCATTTTTGCAAAAATGAAATAAGTACTTTCAATCTGCGTTTTGACATGATCCAATGATCCAATGAATTTCTGTATAACGTGAGGTAGTTAGGTCTACGTTCTCGTTATGGACAAAGGTAAGTTATATTTTCCGTAAATGTTTTGCAGCGGCGATGGCGTCGATCGAAAGGTTTCGTCTGTATGCGGCTAAAACATCATGTTTATCAAGCTGATGAGACTTTTTGCGAAGAAAATGGTGCCAAAATGCTGAGAAACAGTGGGATTTATGCATGAAAAATAAAGAAAATGAAGCTGTGGGGGAAAGCTTTTCTTCGTTATTCAAATCTACGGTGAATTTTTCACAGCATACCAGTGGCGTAGCCAGGTTTTCATCAATGGGGTGGCTAAGAGGAAAGTTGGGGGAGGCTAATTGGGGACTAAGCGGACCGTTGGGGGGCTAACTGCGCAAAGTCGGGGTGGGGCGGACGCAATTCGACCAGAGTTAGGGGGGCTTGAACCAAACTTGGGGGGGCTGAAGCCCCCCCTCGCTACGCCACTGCAGCCCCCCCAGCTCCCCCTCGCTACGCCACTGCAGCCCCCCACCCCCTCCCTCGCTACGCCACTGCAGCAGACAACCACAATGTGTAATCACCGAAGAAGTTCTCAGTTTGATCTCTTTTACTTATACCGATTTAAACAAGCACTAGCGGCCTGCTGCCGCTACGCTGGCTGTCTAATAGGTGAAAATTTGAATAGTCTGTTGAGGATAACGTCTCCTTGACAATCCTCTCTTTATCGCATTACCCATTCGGAACTGAACTGCTTCATTATACAGGTATTTATATACATATAGCCTACAGTACACAGGGAGATTCAGTTCCTAAACACCATCATCATGATATTCGAGCTCATTGCCACAATCGCCATTGTGAACGCCTCTGTTTCGCACGTTTTCATGAGACTCAAGACAACTTTGCTAAATTCGTCTTTATAGCACATTCAACACTTCATCATTCAACAATTCATCAATTCACTCTTGCATCAGCTAGTAGCGCATGGGCTATTAGCGTTAGCGAAAGCACAGACAACAATGATTCTGAAACAGTATGGACCATTTCCAATAACTTGTTCGACGGCACAGAGGGAAGTTAATGCATGTGCGGCACAACGCTAACGACTAATTCCTGAAAATGCCTCGCCAACACATTAGCCCCAGTGAGCAACACTTTCAGAGCCTCAAGGTAGAGTGTGAGTTGTAGCAGAAGCATTTTTCCGTTGTGGCAGAAATGTGAAACAAATGCCTCCTCCCTACATCAAAATGTACAGCCTGACAATGCTCGCTGTGGCTAACGACTGTTGTGATTGAGATAACATGGAAAGGCATAACATCCTGAGTTCCGTGGTGCAATGGTAGCTCACCTGACCAGCAAGCAGAAGGTCCGGGTTCAATTCCCGGCCGCCCCCCGTCTTTCGACACCTGAGTACTGCGTTCCTTGCATCAAGTTGCTCAACCGGCTGCAGGGCTCTCCTATTCCGGAGCTCAGCATTCGTTGACTCTTGCTGTTCAGCGGTCTGAGCGGCCCTAAGCCCCCTTACGTACAGCTGCGTCCTGTTCATCACTCATTCTAGCCATTACGGCTAGCACCGATTTAGGCACTTCTTACCGCAACTGCAGTGACAAAGGTTTTTTCCGCGTCAGCACCAACCGGTTTTTACCGGCAACAACTGCCTAATCTCCGTCCTGTGGGAACTCCTCCAACATATATTCTCCGCGTTCAATCTCACCTCGCAAAAATCGCCACCATTTTGATGGGAGGTGCACCTCGTTTGCGCGACATATGAAGAGAGACTTTTTAGACTACTATTTTGACTTCATCAATCATGAGAACTCAAATAAATTGGCCATGAAACGCAAATGGAAAACTATTGCATGGAAGCGATGGCGCGAACCGCCACGTTTGACCTAACGGAAAGAAATAATATAGAAAATATACTTCAGCAAAGAATGCATTCAAATGCATTACTTGCAGTCGATCAGTGAATACGTGACACGCATTCAGTTCGTAGCACCCTTTGCTTGACACAGTTAAGTATTAAGCCAATGGCTCAGACTGATTTAGCCCCATGGACCCGGCGCTTTGAGCGGTGGATGGTCTAGCCCATGGCCAAGGATGCCATAGCCTAATGGACCTGGCGCTTTGAGCGGTGAACGACATAGCCTATGGTCATCATTTTAATGATCTGGTCTCGTAGGCCTCGCGCGTTGCGGTGACAGCCACCACCACAACTTCTTCCCAGCACATTCAATACGCTTAACCCATGAGCTAATCTGTGATGCTATTAGCATTAGCTATGGTGCTACTGAATCTGAAACAGTACGAGTCATTTCCAGAAACTTGCTCGACTTTAGCACAAAGGGAATTTAGCGCATGTGCAGCAGAATACTAACGAATAATTCCTGAATCCACCACCACAACTTCTTCCCAGCACATTCAATACTCTTAACCCATAAGCCAATCGGTGATGCTATTAGCATCAGCTCATGGTTCAGGTACCACTGAATCTGAAACAGTACGGGTAATTTCCAAGAACCTATTCGACATTAGCATAGAGGGAATTTAGCGCATGTGCAGCAGAATACTAACTACTAACAAATAATTCCTGAAAATGCCTCGCCTCCACATTAGCACCAATGAACAACAGTGTGAGTTGCAGCAGAAGCACTTTTCCGTTGTGGCAGCAAAGTGAAACAAATGTCCCCTCCCTAAAGCAAAATGTACAGCCTGACAGTGCTCGTTGCGCAAACGACTGTAGTGATTTGAGATGACATGGAGAGGCCTGACGAAAAGGCCAGAGTTCCGTGGTGTAATGGTAGCACACCTGACTGGGAAGCAAGAGGTCCGGGTTCAATTCCCGGCCGC